AACTGAGCTGAGGAAACAAATCCTTTGTTGCGTCTGACTTGAAACACAAAACCCGTTGAACCGGTTTGAAGGGAGCGCGCGCGCTCCCACACACACATACAGTCGCAGTCCACCTGGTAAGGTGAGTGAATGACGTCACGCCACCAGCTTCCAATAAGAGATGAAGAATGAGGAAGAGTCCGGACACTGGGCAGAGAAGGACATGAGTTAAAGAGATGGGGGCAAAAATAACAACCTCTTCGTTTCGTTAGTTTGATTAAATACGACGGATTCAGTGTGAGTTGTTGAAGAATTGGATTTTACCTGAGCGATGGTATTCGGACGCATTCGAGACTGGTGCACTCACTTCGCGGAGCGGCACCAGTCCGAGATCAACTTTGCGCTGCTGATCGTTTGTTACATCCTCTACCTCGTCATCGGTGCCGGGATCTTCTCCGCCGTCGAGTTGCCCTATGAACGCGAGCTTCGGCAGGAGCTGAAAGCGGCCAGGCAGGACTTCCTGCGCAACAATACCTGCGTGTCCGACGCGCAACTGGAGGAGCTGCTGGCCAGAGCGCTGGAGGCCAGTAATTATGGGGTGTCCGTCCTGGGTAACGACACCATACGGAACTGGGACTTCGTGTCCTCCCTGTTCTTCACCAGCACCGTGCTGACCACAACAGGTGAGCTAAACTTTGACCTTTTGTGGTTCCCTTTAAAACTGAGGGTTTCTGTAACTACGTTGACCTCCCACATAACTTAATATTTGAGGCCCGAGAAACCTAAAACAACTTGTTTTGAGTGTATGTTTACACAGTTGGAACCGGAAGGGTACACACACACACACACACACACACACACACACACACACACACACACACACACACACACACACAGAAAAAAGAAGTATACTCTTTTATGTGTCTGACGTTAAATCAGACCAAACTTCTCTTGTTTTAGCTCAGTTGGAATCGCTGAAATTAATTTGTAAATGCCACAATAATGAGCGACAATCTATCAAAAATGTATTTATGAATGTCTTCAAAGTCAGAATTTGACTTATTTTGCCTCAGTATTTGGTAGCATTACTATGTAACGTAGGTCTAAAGTTTTGGGTTGGCTTCCTCAAGCTTTTCAGAACAGTTTGCTGGAGTTTTGGCCCATTCCTCCAGACAGAACTGGTGGAACTGAGTCAGGTTTTTAAGCCGCCTCACTAACACGTCTCTTCAGATCAGACCCCACATTCCCTGTCTGATTAAATAAGGCTTTGTGATTGCTACACTAAAACATTTACTTTGTTTGGCTTAAGCCACTTTGTAACCACAATGGCTCAATTCTTACAGTAATCGTCCATCTGGAAGATCCATTTAAATCCAAGCTTCAAGTTGAAGCTTGGATAAAGCTGATGTCTTTAGATGTTGCGTCAGTATTTCCACACAATTACTGGATAATCTTTCACCATACACAGTGTTCTTTCCTCACGTTGTCGTCTATTTTCTAAGGCTTCCCAGTTCCTCCAACTGCAAAGAGACTCCACAACATGATTATGCCACCACCATATTTTACAGATGGGACGAAGTTCCCAGGTTTACACCCTTTTCCTCCACATGAAATAATGGAGGAAACAACAATGGCCAGGCAGTTGAGGAGATAAACTTCCCCCATCAGTGAATGTGAATAAGCACAAACATAACTCAAGTGATAACAGGAACATTTTCGTAGAGCTTTAGAGGAGTTTGTTGGCCCAATCTGTGAAAACAGAGCTGATCTGAGTTCTGGATTTACCTGTTCATCTGGGTTCCAGCCCTCAGCTTTGAATATGACCTAATAAAGGTGCATAGTGGCCAAAAGAATGGATTATGGGAGTGACTCAAGAAGGCCTGCAACCAGGAACGTGTAAGAACCTTTGAAGGTGCTGAAAGTCTTTAGATGTTTCAAAAGGAAAGAAAACCTTTTTCAACTCCTACTCTTCTTTTGGCAGTGTAAACAACAAAAGCAAAGATCTTTTCCTTTTTATGTCTGTCTTTTGTGTTATTCTCATCACATGTGGTCTTGATAGTTTTCTTTTGGTTGTACCTCAGTATTTCAGTCATTTTATCCAACATGGGTCTATGCTCCTTGTCATTGTTTTTGCTCCTCTCATAATTCAATGTCCTTCTGAATAATGTCCACCATCTCTGCTGTCCTTTGACTTCTTTGCTTCTCTACCTGTAAACAGAGCTGTTTGGGGTTTTACCATCAATACTTAATTATAGTGTTAATATTGATCTAAAAGATTTTTTCCATATACCTCTGACATCCACTCCAAGCTTCCTTAAGCTGAAGAGATCAAGTATCTTGAGTGACAGTAGGATGGAATAAGGAAGGGGTGAAACTTACTGGGACCTTGTGTATAGTAAAGTGGACTCTGCTCTGGATGATCATGGTGATTTAAGCTTGGATAACAACAAAGCAAATTGTTAACATTAGGATATTGCCCATCATGTTCAAAGCTTGTTTATTTTTATTTCATTTTTTAAAGTTGTCTTGCTTTTAACTGAGACTGTTTGTTTTGCATTTCGTCTCATTGTTGTTTGTGGAAAGTTTCTCCTATCATTACATGGCACTGCTGACGACACTTTTTTGTTTTGTCTTGTAAGGTTACGGCCACAGCGTTCCTCTGTCGGATGTAGGGAAGGGATTCTGTATCTTCTACTCCCTCATCGGCATCCCCGTTACCCTCTTCTTCCTCTCCGCAATAGTAGAGAGGGTGGTGGAACTGATGTCCCGACGCCCAGTGACCTACTTTCACCGCCGGTGGGCCATGTCAAGACCAAAGTTGGCCTTAATTCACGCTACTTTGCTCAGCATCATCATGGCTCTGCTCTTCATCTTTATCCCTGCCTGGATCTTTTTCTCTTTGGAAAAAGACTGGAACTTTCTGGAGTCTCTGTATTTCTGCTTCATCTCACTGACAACCATAGGCCTCGGGGATTATGTCCCAGGAGAAACTCATAGTAAAGAGGACAACCCTCATCCACAACTGTATAGGCTGGCTATAACAGGTGAGGAAATGTGCAACACTATTTGATGAATTAAAAAACACAAAAATAAGGAGTTTTAATCTCTAAAAATTATTCAGTACAAGAGCATTATTCTCTGTTGCCTCCATAGACATTTGAAACTGGAAGTCCACATTTTATTTAATCTTATAATTTAACATTTTTGCTAAGGTTAGCTGATTTTATTCATTGATTCCAAATTAAACATTGTAAATTACAAATATTCAACACAACAAACTGGATTTGACTTTTGTTTGCAAATAAAAAGGCCAGTTACTGCAGTATTATGATTTAAAGTCAACACAAAATATGCTGTATAGAGAAGATAGAAACAAAATAAAAACTATCCTGTTCCCTTTGGTGGAAATGACAGGTAAAAAAACAACCTCTGTTAACTACCATGATCCCTGCTGTAGAAATGACAGGGGGTGGGGGGAGAGTGGCTCCAAGAAAATAGAGCTATTGATTGCTTTACTCTTTGTTTCCCAGATCATAGCTCTGTTTTGTTAGTCACACTGTTCTTAGCCTCTACACACCCTCACTGTCTCCTTCTGTTTGCTCTTTCAGTTTACTTGCTGCTGGGTTTGGTAGGCGTCTTGGTGGTGTTGGAGACCTGCTACGAGCTTCCCCAGCTCAAACTCCTCAGACGAAGGTTTTACAAGGAAAAGGTTCGGGAGCTGGACTCCGAAACCACTAACATCATCAGTCACGATCAACTCAGTGACCAGAAGCCCGACCCTGCAGATAAAATGGCCACTCAGTTGCCAGTCATCTCTTCTGTCTCAGAACAGGCCGATACGCTTCGCCAAAATGGCACGTCAACGGCTTACACTCCGGCTTCAGGAACCACTGTTAATGGAAAGCTGTGATAACAGCTGACAGCAATATCAGGGTGTGGTGGAAGTTGATGAACTTGTTTATGAACTTTTCTGTGGTACTCCTGGTTTGTTAATGCAGAAACATGATGTATTTGCAGATAGTAGACACTTAGTGGAGTTAAGATTGTTTAAAAAAACTGATTGCTCCCTGCCAACACCAACACAGACGTATTGTGGAAGGAGGAACCACCCACTGACTATTGGCATGGTATTGTTTTCTCCCATGTTGCTTTTATTCAACTGCAGATACAGATCACAGAGGAAGGGCCCGGCTCCAAAACGGAGGGAAATCTCACAAGTGTCCAACTCTAATGCTAAAACAGCAAAGCCAGTTCCAGGGGATTTCATATCCATTCCTGGCATATATTTGCATTGGGAATTTGCCTTCTTGGAAGCAGCAAAGCCAACAGAGTCGGAGGAATCTGTTACCGTCTGTTATCTCATTCAGGTGTTCCAGGAAGGAGATCGATTGTTGGCAATGAATAAATATTTCAGTTCCTGGTTTATTTTAGAGGAGGATCAGCCTTTGCATGTAGAAAAAGCTACACTGCAGTGTACAGGATATGTCACTAGAGGGCAGCACTTTCATATTCCAGGGAGAAGTCTTTCAAATGAAGATATGGATGCAGATGTTTTGCAGCCTGTAATTTTATGAAGGAAGTGCTAAATTGCTGCTGCTTTGCACTGAATGTCACAGTGAATGTTTTTGTGTTCTACGTCTGTAACCATTTGTATGCGAGCATAGAGAAAGTTTGGCCTGTCTTCCAGACAACAATTTGCTGTTATTATCTATTTTTCTATTTTCTGGTTTGAGGGCTTTAATAAACACACAACTACAAAATTGTTATCATAAAATCCACCTAATCTTGTGAGTATAAAATAGGTCTTGAAAGATAAATTTAGTGCAAGAATGTTGAGTTTTTATGCAATGCCTGCAATAAAAACATAAAAATCACTTTCTACCAATTCATAACTGGTAGAAAAATATCTACCAATCATGAATTTTAGTTGCTTTGTCACAGAAAATTCATTTTAAAGTTTATCGCAAAGTCACAAAATTTGAAAAAGTTTAAGACGACGGTGTAACTTCTTTACAAGGCACTTTTCATATAAACTCGGGTTACTTTATTTATACAGTTACATATTCACAGCATAATTCAGGACACAGACATGCATGCCAATGCGGATGCACACATGCATTCAGTTTTGCTCGTTCAAGTCCAAGCCCCATATTTAAGTTGAGAAAATGTCCTTCAGTCAGACGTCTCACTCTCCTGATGAGTGAAAACGTATGCCCTTCTGAAAAATCCTTGAAACAGCAGGAGTTGCAGGACCATATTTGACAGCGTCACATGACCTTTCACCCACACAAACACACACTCACAACTGTTTGCAGATGTTCCTGACACAGCACTCAGACATGGATACTTTGTTGTGTTTATACAATCTGTGGTTGCTTGGAGCATTTGGGCCAGACAGGACGCAAGCTGAGGATGAAAAGGACGAAAAGCAGCAATGCGATGACAGTGACTATGGAGACGTAGCCAGCGTGTGGGAGTGGGGGTGAATCTGGAGCCTCTGCTGGAATCATGTTGGTCAGGTTCAACATGTAGCCCAGTGTCCAGCCTGCATCACTGCCTTTTATCTGAAAACGCCACACCAAGGAAAACTTTAAATACTCTGACAGTACACTCAAGCAAGCTTGAATGCTTAAAGATGCATCTCAGTTGCTGTAATTTAATTCAAACACTTTCATGTGCAATGGGCATATGTTACATGCAGAATGATATATTTCTTGTGTTTACAAAATGTTAAGTTTTTGTGTGTTCAAAAATGCACAACCAACAGGGATCCAAAGCCTATTCTCACACACATAAACGCAGCCACAACAACTGTCCCATTCCTTGTGCTAAGCAGATCATGAACCAGATATGATTGATCCAGTAGTTTAATAAAGAAGGAGACTTAACCAAGTGTTTTATAAATACACAGTGAAATGCATGTAGGACAACATTTGTGTCAAAACTCATTGATTTGTTTTAAATGATCTAATATAGTTAGTTTCTTTCCCAAAGTAATAACCTAAGTCATTTATTTCCAAAACTGATTTTGACAAAGTAATAATAAAAAAAACAACAAAACAACAACAACAAAGAAATCAATTTTGTCAAAAAATTACTTGGGCCATTATTTTAGGAAGGTGACAAAATTGTAGTTTTATAAAATTAGAGTTATCTTCCCTTTTGGTTTTTATTAATTGTAAGTCATAATAATTATAGGCAACAGAAATAAAAGCTCAATAATAAAAATAATAATAAAATCAGTTTTGTGGGAAAAAAGCCAGAAATCTGATATTAAGTTCAAAATTCTGAGGAGAAAAATCCAGAGCTTTGGGAATAGTGACCCAAATCCTCTTCAGAAATCCCCAAATTGTCATTTAAGAACTAGACACATCAGCGTGTTTCCGTTTGCCTCGGATCACCATCAGTAGTTCCCCTTTTTTGTTTGTTTTTCACATTTCTTGATGTCGCCTGACGTTTTCTTTTCTTTTTTTTTTTAAATCCTATCAAATTTACCAGAATGGGCACACGCACAATTTGACCTGACCCTTCTCTGGTAGGTTGCAGTCAATGCTTAAGTGCAGTAAATAATTTGTTTTAATTGTTTATTTCTTTACATATTTTGTCACCATCATGCTCACAGCAAACGGTGTCGGTCAGCGCTTTTGCTTTGATGTTGTTTTGTTGAACAGCGTTTGAACACTTTTAGTTTCTCTTGGATATTTCCGCTAAATGTGGTCCTATTTACCGGTATATTCATTGGTTCATTTCCCCCCATATTGTCATGTGATGTTTGTTTGTGACGTTTTTACACCACAGTGTGGTTGCTCTGGGTGTCGCACATCTGTTTTCTTGTGATCTCCACTCCATTCAAGAATGATGTGGGATTTTTGTGAGTCATTAGGGAATGATTTAGATGCTTCAAGTGTTGAAATACATTCATGTCTAAAGTTTGTGCTTTGATAGAAATGGAAATGTCTTCCATTTACTGGAAAATATCAGTAAATTTGGAGGAAATGTATATGTCATAATAAATATCAAGAGATGTAAACAAAAGTTCGCTAAGCAATTCCAGTGTTTTAAATCAAGATAAAATGGTCAGTTGGGTGACATCTTATTGTGCTTCCCCTTAAATTATTATTTTAACTTGTTTTCTGTAGCTTTACTTTTGTGTTTTCTATATCACAGTTTGGTTCAAGTTAGTGTGTGGATGTTGAATGATTCGTTTCTTTTTATATGTTTGTAATCGAAGTAAAGAAATGTATTGCTCAGTTAGAAATATTTGTCTGGTCAAGTACAGTATTCAAGCTAAAGCTATTTGATCTGGTGCAGTCAGTAGTAAATATATTTCTTTTTCCAGCAGTTAAAAAAAATCAATGTGAAAGAAAAGCTGTTTCATTTTAGGTATTTATACCATACAAAAATTGTATTTTACTTAAGTTATTATACCATGAGAACCTTATACCAATCAATACCTACCGAGTAGTTTTTCCATTAAAAGTTCTAGTTTAAGGACATTGCTGACAGTGAGGATATAACAGGGTGGAGCAGAAGTATGAAGGGAGGCATTGGCCTTGAATGTGTGGAACAGGAAAGTGTGGATGCTGATCTACTGACCTCTTTGATGAATTTTATCTTGGAGAAAGTCTCCGTAGTGAAGCCGTATCCTTCTGTCAACAGTGTGAGGATGTATGTGCCAGAAAAACAATATTCAGCCAGGTATTTCTCTTTAACATCTGTGTGTTGCTGCTTTATCTGTTTAAACAATTTAAATGTTGGGATATTATCAATGCACAGGACAGAAAATACTGGAGGAGTTTATTAAATAGTGGAAATGCATTAATACTGCACATCAGTTTTCAGCATGTAATAATAAATAAATATGGCCCAACCTGATTCCATGGGGTTGCACAGTAGTTTGCTAGATTTTTCTTCACAGTTTCCAATGGGATGGAAGTATCAGTCAGGTTGAGGAAGTTCATCACAAAGTAGTACGCAGAGAAGGCCTACAATGAGAGAGGAAATGGGAAAAAGGATATGAGCTTTATATTTAGAAGAATGAAGCATTGCCCTTTTGTTCTATTCTTATATTTGACAAACAAGGCTAACATACCGATTTATTATGTTTGCTGCCAGGAGAATTTTAGAGAATTGGCTTATAAAAATGTTAGGTTTTTAGTTTACTTTTTGAAATGAAATTATGTTTACTTCACTGTTTTCTCTAAAAACTTTAATGTTTTACAAAATATGTCTGAAAATAGAACTGACACACAATGGTGAGAGATATTTCCAGGAAATTGGTTTCAGAAATAAATTGGCAGCTGTATTTCATTAGCACCATCTAAAAAAAAAATCTGTTTCATTGCTATCTTTCACATAAAATACTGGTGTTATGTCATGTATTTGCTGGGCCAGAGAAAAGAACTGCGATCGTCAGGAGGTGGGATCATGCAAGACGACGACAACCAATAAAAATATTCTGATTTAATTGTTTTTCCTTTTTATCTATCAAGTTTAGGAAAAGTAATCATTTAACAATTAAAACAGTGATTGGGAAAGAGACTGGAATTGGCCAATTTTCCCCCGATTGGCTCTGATCAGTGTTTGTCTAGTCAAATACTGACAAAACTGATTTGTTTCCCTCTATTTATTAAAACTTTGAATTCCCACGTTTTTCTAATCTTGAGTACTAACACTTGAACTGTGTTGGTAGAAGCACCCCAGAGCCTTTTTCACGTATTTTAAAGGTGCAGTAACCAGTCTGTTTGATGGAAAAAAATTGTTTAGTCTCTTTTGAAAAGGATTTAAGTCTTAATTGAAAAAGTCATGCAGTAAAAATGTTATCATAAAATGCAGAAATGTTGTAGACCTCTAGAGAAATTACTCATATGATGTGTGAACTGCTAGAAAAACGCAAAACATCTGAACTACTTTACCCCAAATGATCCTTGCAGAGGTGGCTGGAAGATCCCGTTGAAAGAGCATTTAGTGTATTTGCAGGACATAAAGTTAAACAGACTTTTGACAACTTCCTGGCATTGTAAAAAGTTTCCTGCTCCTCTGTGAGTGAAGTTTAAAGGAGCTTCTTTTGGTTTCCTTTCTAAGACACATGGGCTGTCATACAGGGTGTTGTAATTCTTTGTCATTGAATAGCCTGGGTGGAAGCACGGATCAGACATTGTTATTGGACCTGACTAGGAAAGAGATCAAGAAAGGGACACAGGAAATATGTTTAGGTATTTGGAAAAATTGCTCTACATTTTACCCAAAGTCACTGAAAATCACAGGATGAAGTTTGAACATTTAAAAACCTCAAAGGATTACCTGAGTCTGATGTGCCAGAGCCATTCTTAGCACTTGGTCCTTCCCATAGCACAGGAAGCTGTGAGTGTACAGATTGTAGTCATTTCCATAGAGTCGGAAAGCCACAGAGTTGCTTGGTGACTCTGAAATGTCATATTCACGAGGTACAAAGCTGATTTGAGTTGAGGCCCCACCCAGGTCAAGAGCCCCCGTTGTTTCTAGACCCTGAAGGAAAAACAAGAGGGAAATGAAGTCATTGCACAGCGGTGACACCCTTGCACACACACAAAAAAAAACGTTCAAATTTGACAGACTTGCGTTGATCTGTATCCGGATCTGTTGACAAACCTGTTTGAGACGATCATCCAAGTAGTTGACGGTGACCCAGCCGAAGGCGCCCTCCTCTTGCCCGCTGAGTATTCTTGCCCCCTGATACGAAAAAGGGAATCTTTGCAGGGCTTTCTCCACAGCCTCAAACACCTTGTCTGATGCCGCCTTGTTCTCTATACTGCACGTACACACACACACCATCAGCAATTTCATACAGTGAGTCACATGCATAATTCAAAACAATGCAGCTGCCCATAAATAATGAACGGACTGTATCATTTAAAATTGCTTTGGCAGCAAGATATTTATTTCCCTGTCACTAAAGTTTGCACGGACATAAATCACAACATTTGTAAGTGGAAAAGGCGGATAGCTGGATTTTCCTCTTTACAAAGCAAATACAACTAAAGAGTTGAGTCTCATGGAATTATGTTGGTGGTTACATGTGAAGAACTAAGTCTCCCTTTGTACACAAATGCACACAATGCAACAGACATGTTACTGGGAAGTTCAACTTGGCAGCACACGCTAACCCATCAATACTAGTTTCACTAAGTGCTAAATTTAAAATTTCCATTAAAACCTATATTTGAGAAATAAACTTCTGGATCAGCTCTCTGTGTTACTTTTTTATCCTCTTATAAGTATTTATTGTTCAGTATAGTGTTTTGGATATTCACAAAAAAAACCTTTGCATCAGGTATCAATTTATTTACAAATTGCAAGCAAATTTAATAAGAGTTTAGCTCATCAGTAGTTCAGGATTTCTGTTATTGGTAGAACTACCACAGAGATTAATTTATGTACATTTCTGCTTGACTGGACCATAACCATGTTGCCATGATGTGTTTTGGGGCTTGTGAGAACTGGCTTTCAAATCTGTTTATTTTTTAAAATCTTGTTTTAAGTTGCATTACAGATATGTAGTCATGTGTTGAACTTACTTCAGCAGTCTCATTCCAGCTGTAGCCCCCAGGTAGAGCGGGGTCTCCTGGTGTCTTCTTGAGGGAACCTGCATCTCGGCTTCTCGCATGCACTCTGTCAGTGACTCTCCAGCTTTCTCTGGTTCAGCTGCATAGCTTGAGATACCTTTACCTGCAACAATAATTCAATTTTAGGAGGAAGCTGAAATCTTTAGAAACAGGAAGATCTACATAGTTTGGATATTTGGACAACGATCTGCTATAATTTTCCACAGATGGCAACGAAAAGGCCAGACTTGAGTTGATTTACAGTTAGTTGGTCTTTGAAAAGCTGTTGTGAATTAGACACGGTTGAAGAACGTTGCCCCCTGTTCTGATCCATGGAAGAAACAAATATTTCACAGGTTTTTCTGGTCAGTTTGTGATTTAAAGTGTTAACTTAATTTGACCTTGTTCACAAGATGTTAAGCAAAGCCAGATCATGAGGACATCTTGTTTCTCTGCTTAATGGTCCAGTTTACATGGTAATCATGACAGAGACATTCAAGTGGTGAGCAGGATGTAATATGGACAATCTGACCTGTTGCAGCTGTTCAAGTTAAAATTTGAAGTATTTTCAGCTACCACTTTTCTGGTTTCTTGGATTTTATGAGCAAAACCCTCAAACTGTGTGTTTTGCTGCTGCGGGACTTTCTGTCACAAGATGTCTTTATTTCAACCGTCTTTTATCTATTAACTTATCAGTGCTTATAAAACCCATAATGGCTGCCCATTTTTTCTGTTTACCAATCACTAAAGAACTTTAGTGAAACTGACTAAAACTACTTCATATGCAGTTTCAGTCAGATATTTGCATAAATTAATATTGGGCATGCAGATTATTATCTTTGGGTCATTCTTTATAGACTCAGTGATTTAAAAAGACAACAAATTGGATGCACAATACATGTTTTCTTTTTACTTTAATAAATCTAGTCCAAAAAGTTTTGTACAGCATTGAGGGTCAGGGATCAGTTTACTGTTTGGATCGCAAATGATTTTGGGCTTTTAATAGTCAGACTATGAGTCAAGCATTCTACCATTTTGTTTAATGAAGACTGCTGATCCTTTGGCTGCTTTTGCCAAAGGTGCTGCTCATTTTGTTGCTTCATACCTCATTGGGGATGTGAGATAAAATCTCTTTCACAATATACTGAGATGTGAACAAGAACAATTCTGACTTGATGAACAAACATTTTATTCTAATTGGTGACATAATATTGAGGAACGAAAATTTTAACTTCATGTGCCATAGTCGGAAAGTAAAAGGAGAACACAGTCCTTAATCACCACATTTTTTTTTTTAAAACCTGAGGAACTCTTTTACATGGTTCCACCTCCAGGAGGAAGTAAAACGGCCAAAGTTTACCTGTCAGCACTAACTGGCAGACTATTGAGCTAGATGTGTCTATGATTTACAATAGCATCATAACATTTTGCGTGATAATCAAATCCTGAAGTTATTAAATACTCTCACTCCTAGTGCTCTTAACACCCAGGATATTAAATGATTCATAGATGATGCTAATGCTCCTCCCTTTTGCTGTCTTTATATGTGAGATGATGGAGAACACAAAAGTACATCCACACATGTCACAACATTCAATAAAGTGTTTCTATGGGAACTCAGTTTGTTTGTTGCATGGGCCTGGAAATGTGCTTTCCAATAACAATATGAAAATAAACATTTTAATGATTACCTTTTATTTGGTGATTGTTTAGCAGCAACATCAAAATTGAGTAAGACTTGTGTTCATGCATCTTGAGCTTCTCAATCCTAATGAAACTTTGTTGATTATGATTATACGCTGACTCTTTTTCGTGAACCAACCAATTTAAAGAAGTAGTTGACCCTTATTGCTAATCCAGCATAAAACATTACAGAGGCTAATGAAGCTGTTAAGAAAATACAACTAAGCTGTTTCACTGCTAAAGCAACAGATTTTAGACGGAAGCACGTTTTCCAGGAAAGCCTTGTTGAAATGGAAGCAGTTAATTTAGGTTTTTTCCTCGTTTGCTTGGTATATTGCATTTTTTTGCTCTTGAGCCAACGCAGAAAGACTTCAAGGCTTGGTTGTTTATCACAATTCATATCATTATCACAACATTCACCAATATTACCCCATATCAGATTTTATTCTGATATCATGGACCCTATTCATATTCATTCGAAATTATGTAGTGTAGTATTAAATGATTCAAGATTCTGCATGCACAGCTTTTGCTGTATATGCCTTACCTTTTACTTTGCAGGAATGCTTCTGTTCAACTCTTCCAGTATTGTTATCCTTCTCTGCTGGCCACTCGTAGATATAAAGAGCTGTGTGGGAAGAGCCGGCGTCGAGCACAATCCCATACTGAGCGGAGACAGGAGGAGGAATTTCTGTTTATGCTGTTTGAGTCATTAATTCTGAAACAGTTCCTTACAGATGTGCCATTTTGAATCTCACTTGTAGTGATTACATAACACATAGACAAATATTCTAGAGTTACATCAAAGTTTTGTGAAACAGGAAAAGAATCATCAAGTAAATGCATGATAACCACTACAATTAGGTATCTTAGGAGATCAAACTCTGACAAAAAACAAGGATTTATCTTATCAGCATCTGCTGGGCGTATTTGCTTGTGCATTCCTAAAATCAATAGCGCAGGTTGAAAAGTTAAGGTCATACTGACTGCATACCAAATTTGGTAGACAGGTTTTAGGCTAGGCCTGCTCCCCAACATGACCGCCACACTTCAAGAATGTCTTTTAACATACCTTGTACTTTTGGAGGACAGGTCTGTTCTGCAAAACCGCAACTGTCACCAGGGCAACAATCGCTATGACACCAATCACAGTGATGATGATGGTCAGCGGCGTGTGCCAGGGGTTTTTCTCTTTCATCTCTGAGAGCGGGGGCGGAAATACGGACAGACAGAACGGGGAGACAGGAAGGAAACGGCAGAAGAGGAGAGAAAAGGGGTAGACGGGAACACATTGGAAATAGGTTTAGGGGGGAAATGTTATCCAATCTTGCATCCAGATGTTGAAGTCACAGCATGTGGGAGTCTGTTGGAGGTTGCGTATTGTGTTTAATTGTTTTGTTTGTAACCAAGGGTTGTAGATGGATTTTTGATTTGGTGCGTCTGAACTCCCTCCATTCTCTTCATTTATTCAAGGGGAGACTTAGTTATCTCAGACACAAAACACTTGAGATTTTATTCCACTGAAGTATTTGAGTAATGCTGAAGGATCAACAGGATTTCCACTCTGGAAAGAGTTTAAAGACCTCGATTCAACAATAGCTTAGCTGTTTAGACAGCATAGGGAAACAGTTGGCTGAAATCAAACAGATGGTTTTATTAGGACTATGCAGACCTGTTAAGACATGTTTAGATATGTGCCACTAAGGAGTTATTAATCTTAAACAGCTTCTTATTTGAGATATACATTTTAAAATAAATACTTTTCGGTTTGCTACTTCTCTCTCTGGCTTCATCTGGATTACATCTGCCATGGTTTCATAGAGTAACTGAATTTGCATCACCTGATCATGCCACCATCACTCTCCATTTATCTGGAACACGCTACCTGTAATAACAGATCTCACAGCACAAGGGAGATAATTCCCTCCAATATATTTATAATAAAAAAAATATTATTATTGACTGCTAAAATAATCAAAATAATCTTATAATTTGGACATATTTACAATAATGTAATATATAACAGTTATTTGTTCTGATACATAGATGTAAGCAAAATACAGTGGACACCTGCCTATTCATGTTCAGTATTTTCCTGTCAAACATGACTTTAAAGTTTACTGCAAGAAATCTAGCTATTGGCAGGATTTTCCTTAGAGCATATGTAAAATATTTGAAAGAAAATGCAGGCTTTGTGCAACTTGACGCATTATGGGCTGACATTTCCAAAGCAGTAAGGCCAGGAGTTCCAATTATATTCCTTATCACTGATTAGCTGCAGATGTCAGCTTTTACAGTAGTGCTAAGACAGTTTCTGCTGTGCATACTATTGAATCTTAAAGTATATTTCGTGTTTTAACTATTAAAATAGGGAGTTATGAGGATTTTTAGAGGGGGTCTCACATATTTGCATATTTTTTTAACATTCATTGCACACAGATTCAAGGTGTAACAATCTTATTTTATCACTTTATCAGAAAAGCTGATTGTTATGCTTCTTTAGTTTCCAGTCCATGACTGGCTATTTTTGCAACTTTAAAATATCTACATTTATTTTTCTTGCAACTTCTGCATGAATGTTCTAGCAGCCTTCCATCAGTGAGCTAACCAGAAATACACAGCAACATTTTGGGAAAATTTGAGCTGTTTTTACTTCCTTTTCAAAACTTTTGTTGTATGATTAATGGCCTCATGTGCAGCAATGTTGTCATTAGAGTATTTAAAAAGAACAGGTTGTTTGTATCCTATTACTTTACCCCAGACTGATGTGTAAGATAGTGCTTTAAAACCTGAATTACGCACACTTGCATGCACACGCAGAAATACATATGCTTGCATATTACAAACTGGCAGAAGACAGCTGTCAAACAGCTCCCAGCACAGTGTTCTGTGCGAATAACTCAGTACAAATATGAGCGAGAAGCAGCTCTGCTCTACTGCATCAGCAGAACCTGCAGCTCTGATTGTAACCATGACCTTTATCCTCACAGAAACTCCAAAACCTAAAGTGTTGCAATACAACAAGCCAGTCGCAAACACAGAGAGAGCTTCACTTACCTCTGTCAGTGAAGTTGGCAATGATAGTGAACGAAGGGGAGTGGATGCCGAGAGAGAAAAATGGAGGGAAGAGAGAGAGAGAGAAAATACAGACAAGACAGGCGCAGGAGGGAAATGACATAGGGAAATGACAGCGATAAAGGTGAGGTTTTCAGCCGTGTCCAGACAGGATTAGAATAAAACTCAGTGCTGTCGGAGCAGTTCTCCAGTCTGAGTTTGGCATTTCCTCCCCTTCCTGGGGCAGTAAAACTGGTCACTGTGGAAACGCAGCTCGCCAAGCGTTTGTTGATGGGCAAGAAGCTCTCGTGCGAGCATGAACTCCTTAAAAGTTCTCTAAACTAACGAGAGCCACATGCTCTAACTGTTTGTTCTCCCCGCAGGACGTTGAGGTGGGAGGGGAAGCGGGGGAAAGCGGGGACTCCCTTGTTTGGCTCTCTTTTTATCACCAGGAGGTTGTGATGTCATCTCACTGACGGATAGGAATTCCCTTTTCTTCTTGGTTGTGCGTGTGTCTGCATGTTCTGACTTTGGTGCAGACTCAAAACATGACTTGCCTGCAGATATGTTGATCCATTCACAGATGGTCCTGCTGTTTATTTCTCCTCCTGGCCTCACATCTCAAAATACACAAACCCTTGTGCTTACACACACATAGGAGACACACAGTCAGCTTTCCCCTTCTAATTTTTCTAAAAAAAATAGATTAAGTGGGCTTTAATTTTTGGAGATGTTTTTTTTTCTAATGACTTAAAAAACTGAGCTGATTGCTTATTATTTTGTGTTAATTTGCCTTTTTACGGTTTTTGGGAAAATTGTAAAAAGCTGTGTGAGCATATCCTTTGCTCCTTGATGACAAGAATCAACTTTAAGCCAGAAGTATAACACAATTCATCAAGATCCGTTTACCAGGAAAGATCTAGAGCTTGTGGGCCTTTTTATTAAAAACACATTCACCGACTAATTTGATATGATTCTATGATTAAACTTGCTCAACCTGTCAGAGGGTCAGGTGATTTATTAAAAACAGAATGTTGCAGTTTTGGGGCAATTGCGGTCCCTCTGACATTCAAAACGTACAAAATCATGACTCTATTGACTTCAATCTGGACAGTTCATACAGTCTAAAATCAACACATTTTCTAAACTATAGTGTAACAATTTAAAATATGAAATGCAGCATCTCTTTGCAGAGCATTTGTTAATAAAAGTGAGCCACTTATGACCCTCTTTTTGTAACTGGTTGTGCGTAAGTGGTAATGCATAATACTTCAGTCTGCAAGTATTGATACAACAAAACCACAAGTAATGAATTGGACTTGTTACAAGTGAGTCACTTAAACAATGAAACCTTTTATCTGGCTGATGAAACTACTGGATGTGTTTAATTATCAATGGTGATTTGGATTGTTTAACTTCAGGCTAAGAAAGAAAAACAAAGACAACCATTGAATGACTTTTGAATACTGTGAGAACCACAAACTTTGGCTAGCTTGCTGTTTAGGACACTGAATTTTCAAAAGTACATTTAATTTTAGGAAAACCAATTTAAATTGTTTGCAAATGTTCAATTCAGTTCTTTTCACTTATATAGCACAAATAAATATTTTCAATGCTTTTCTTAAGTTGTCTTAAAGTACAACTGGATTAAGCTAAAAAAATTAAAATAAAAATAAAAATCTGTGTAGGCCAAAGTTTTGCCAAAAAATGAAAATTGGCCACAAAATTCAGATAATCGAGATCTGTGCTTTTCTACTCATAATTTTCTTTATAGCTAAATTAGACTTGAATTATTTTTCAAAATGTCTTAAACAATTACATAAACTTTCTGGAATGAAAAGAAACAAAAACAATAACAAAAAAAGAGGAAATACAACCCAGACACCATCCAACATAAACTAGAGCTGTGCTTTGATTTAAGCACTGCGTCTGACCCTGTCAGCAAATGTGTCTGACGTCCATCTTGCAACATCAGTCTTGTGAAATCCAGCAAAATGTCCCTCCAAGACTTGCAGCTATAATAAAAAAGAATGAAATCACGTGTTTTCCATATGTGGTCCTAATTTATGCAGCAGATCCTATCCATTGCACATTATAAATGCATGAGGATACATGGAATTTATTTGCTGTTGAGGAAACAATGTGTCTTTGTATGGATAACAGTTTTCTACCATTTTAAGCCTTAATAGAGTACAACTCAAAGTGCATCACTGTCAGTGGTTACAGCAGAAATGTGATGCTCATCGAATTAATATTTCAGTGTTCCTCACAATTGTTTTCAAGTCTAAGAAATGGGCATTTTGAAATATTTAAACTAAATTTATATTAAAGTGCATGTAGGTCAACATTATTCATCTCTGCTTCCTGACACGTTTGGCAGCAAAGTTGGTCTCAAAAACGCTTGTTGAGACAGAGAACAAGGGCTCTGCCAAGCAGGAGTTTTAATGCATGAGATCATAAAGGAACTCTTTTGGAATATCCACAGACCTGTGGGATACACCCACACTTCTAAGTTAGTCTCTTTTTGCATAATGCTTTTACCTGTCTGTGACTTCAGATCAGTCCAAGACCTCATCTGTTCCATGTTTTCATAATGGATCTCAAACAGTGAAGAGAAGTGAAGAGAAGTGGCTACCATTTAAAATGATCCTGTTGCCAAAAACTGGCTTCAAAACATGCTTCTAGGTCAAGACACACTTGCGCAAGGATTTCGCCAGTGTTTCCATTTCCGACCTCTCTTAACAAAAACTGAAGCGTTAACTTCAGACTGGGATGTCCCTAATGTTGACATAATCAAAGAGAAGAGGTGCAGGAGAAGCAAGAGCAAAACAACATTTGTTAGAAACTCTATCTATGTCAAGAGTCTTGTCTAAATATTTTGGTCAGCTTTGAGCAAACTAAGTCCCTAAAATTGTGTTTCAAGAATGTATATTTATCTTTATATGACCTATTTTGTGGAGTGAACATGACGATAATGTAAATGAACAACATATCTTTATTCAAATCCTCTCCCCTAATGATAACAGCTTACCACATGCCTGGACAATTCCCTAAATGTTAGGGTTTAACATTTCTAAATGTTAAACCCTAATTCTAACCTATAAAAGTTGTGTAACATATGACACCAGACAAAACAGTCTTATTTAACAAGCATGCAGGTTACAATTAAAACATTTAAAGTTACATGACATTTACTTGCAAGAACGAACGTGAGACCTGCACCCACTCAAACAAAAAGTAGTGTTCTATTAACCTAGCACATATATTTGCTCAATTGAAGACTTCATGACTTCACTCTTGATGATCTGATCTTCTAACTGTTTTCCTGAGGGCAAGATCTGATGAATGAGAGACGTTCTGAATAGAGTTCCTTTACATTCAGCAGTGAGTCGGGAAATGACAGAGCTGTGGATCATCAGTGGGGTTTTGTAATGATAGGAAGACATCACAATAATTTGCCTGTAAGGCAGGTTCTAAAATTATGGTGCTCTTTGGTGGTTAGGACAAACAGCTCATAACAACTTTGTGTTGACATGTTCTGTCTTCGGTCATTACAGAGTAATACATGTTAGTCAACAGCACTGAAACCAGGGGGAAGACAAATGTTTGTATCCTGCTAGAAACTCAGTTTAAATCACATTTTGAACATTTAAGCAAAAAGTCAAATGTCAGGAGACGCAACAGTGAAGGGAAGGAGGAGACTTTAAATGTTTGCGGTAAGATGCTGCATGAATTCCAGAAGTATGAGTCTAATCTCTTTTTCCACCACCTGTTGGACTAGCAGCATCAGAGCCACGAATTAAAATGCTCAAACAACGTGATAGAAAGTTGTGTCTGTTCTGGGGACTACTGGAACCACTGGAGTTGATGGTGTAAAGAATGAGGATTTAAAAAAATAAAGAAAAAACTATCCTCTGTATAACAATGTTTAAAAAAAAGTTAGAGGCTTTTTCAGATGTCCTGTAATACTGACTGCTACAGGGGATTATATCTGCCATCAGCAATTACAACTCCTTGAATAATATGATTTTTAAACAACATTTAATCTCCCTTTGGGATTATTAAAAAAGTTTAAAAAGTATTTTGAATTTTGAATTATTTAACATTAACATATTATTATTAGTTTGCTAGACATGGAAGAGACATTTCTAAATTAAATATTTTTACAAATATGGGAAGAATTGCTTTGGGATCAAAAAGCATCAATTTTGAGTTTGCAATGTTTGTATTATGAAAAATCTGACCACAAGTCACTCGCATCTTGAAGTAACCTCAGACAATCACACAATTACCTCCACGTTCTTTTTCTGAATTAATGAAATTGCAAACATTCATGTATTGAATTTCCAGCAGAGATAAATACTTTATAGTAAGATAGAAAAGAGAGGAATAGGATGCCAAACAAATGGGAGTTGTGAAACCAGAGAGTCAAATGAGGGTGAACCTGCTGTTTCCTCCTAAACCTCTTGATTCAAGTCGGTGACAGTAACATTTAAGAACCGGGCAAACATGGCTTGAAGCAGACCAATTAGAAATAATTTTAGGTTGAAAAACAAAATCATGGTTGTCTGAACATTACATTTTAAATATCTGAAACAAAGGTTATTTTAGTTTTGGTTTAGGAAAGTTGCTGATTAGAAAGGTATCCCTCAGGAAATCCTCAGTATGCATCTCAAGTGATGGCAATATTGCAATTGACCCAGAGTTAGAAATTTTTGTTTAGTGTGCTGGCGTCAAATCTGTAAGGTAATTTCACATCAAATCACTGCAATATTATTAGGTTTCTCACTTTCATCTTTCTTACACACCTTAAAATATCTTTTTCACCATAGCAATTAGGTCGCCTTTATTTTATTAAAAAAAAAATCATAGATAAATCGCTCTAAAATGGCATTATCTGGAAATATTTATTGCAGTTATGTGTACTTTCTCTGCCCCACCTTTATCATATTTGTAATGTAAAAAGAACAAGCTCTGTAATCTGGTTCTATTTTTAATTTTGTTATCTTTTCAATCAGTCTAAAACAAATCAGTCAAAATCTGGATTGGAAGGTTAGATAGAGCTTGACCAAAAGTTAGTAAGTCCTAAAAACCATGACATCAGTGTCTTACTACACTAGTTAGACTCTAACTATTGTTATAAAAATTTATTTATGATAAACAGGAACTACCACATTGAAGAACTTTTTTCCCTCTTTCTCTTTGACCTAAAGTCACATACAGTTCACAATTTTATTTTATCAAATACATCATTTTTAGATTTAAAAATGATCTTTTAATTAAATATTTTTTTTACTAAATAAGAAATTATTGTATTTTGTTGATGGCTTAATTTTTCCACTGAACATTTGAGGTAGATAACTCAGGCTTGATAAAGGAATATTTAAAAATACTGTTTATTTTATAGACTTTTAACTGAGCCTGTTAGCTCTGCTAATGGGATGTTTTCCACAAAAATAGATTCTTTAGCTGAAACTCCACTCAGCTACTTGATTTTTTTTTTCAACATATGCGGACAATTAAACTTAAGGCAACCCCCAACAAATAACATCTGCCACTGGCTGGATTATAAAAACAAACAAGAACACTCATCACACTAATTCA